TGCAGTTTGTGAGTTTGAGCCCCACATCAGGCTTGCTGCTCTCAGTGCATAATAGCCCCCTTCTGATCTTCTGTCCCCTTCTCCCTCTGTCCCTCCCCAGCTCATGCTCTCTCAAAAATAAATAAAACATAAAAAAAATTAATAAAAAATAAAAAATAAAAATTACAGGGGCGCTTGGGTAGCTCAGTCGGTTAAACCTCCTACTCTTGATTTCTGCTCAGGTCATGATCTCACAGTTTTGAGATCAAGTGCCATGTGGGGCTCTACGCTGATAGTGTAGGGCCTGCTCAAGGTACTCTTTTTCTCTCTCTCTGCCCCTCCCCCGCTTGCACGAGCTCTCACTCAAAATAAATACACTTTAAAAAAATAAAATAAAAATTACAAAAATGCCAATTATACAAGCATGTCATAGAAAATAACACACACTACCATTTTCAAATGAAGTCTTTTAAAACTTCAAAGGTAATACCCTTTCTAGTGTTAACTAAAAATATGCATGATCCCAGATAAACTGCTTTTTCATGACTATTATTAGCAGAGTTACATTAAACATGTAAACATTTAAAAATAGTGATGCTTTTGAAATCTAAGTGCACAAAGTCAACTCTGTCTACTTTATAGTTTAAGACTAATAGATCCCTGTATAAATGGTCATCAGTTAAAGTTTAATTACTGTTCAATAATTCACTCTTTAAAAAGACAAGGATTTTGATAAATTCTGACCACAGGGACAGATATTTTCCTGCCAAAGCATTTCTCTTCTTGTTCATGGTATAGCACTTTATCTAGTACAGTTGCCCCTCATTCATGGTAACACAGGTGATTACATTCAACTGGCATTTAACATAAATTGCATCAAACTGCCCTATAATTTCATTTTGGACTGAATTAATTAACTTCTCAGTAGGTGACTAAGGTGCTGAACATAAGCCTAAGGAAATACTTGACTGCTTAACCTACCTTAGATGAATTGTCTCTAACTCAAGGCAGCTTCCATTTTTAATAAATACTAGAAAAATGTATTTAGTAGGATCTTAAAGGGTAAAGATAAGGCATTTATAATAAATGGAATCAGTTTTCCACATACATGCACATCCATTTAAAAGAAGTCAGGGGGCACTGAAGACAGTTACGGAGGATTTAACCAAACTCCCCAAGAGTTGGCATGCCTGATATTTTGAAAGACTGTTTACCTTAGGAGGTGTGTGTTTCCAGTAACAAGATGCCTTCTTTGTCCTTGGCAAGATGTTTAAATAAAAAGCTCACCACTTTGTAGCAAGTAAAAATAATACTATCTTAATGCTGTTGTAATTTATATCCCAGAGTTTGAAATGTAAATGTAATTTTCTAAGACATTATCTTCAGATCACCAGAATTATCATAATATCATATCTATTCTTTTTTCTCTAATTATAATATTATTATCAAGATCTGACAGCTAACTCTTTGTTTTCAAGTTTATGGTCTTCATCTATCAAGAAACAAATTAAAAGGACAAAGAATGTGAAAAGCCAGCTCATAAAAAGCTGAAATGTCTTTCATTAGACGGCATATTTTTATATGTCATAAACTTCCGGTTTAGGAAATGCGAAAACAAATACTTCTTTTGACGAACTCCTTGACAAAGTGTTTAAGAATTTTTAGATTTTTTTTAACTGTGGAAGGAAGGAAGGAAGGGAGTAAGATGGAAAGAAGGAAGGGAGGGAGCCCCAACTCTGTATTATACCTTTTGGGGGGAAGTGAATGAACATTTAATGAGCACAACGTTAAAGGAAGTGAAGCTGGAAACCTCAGACTGAGTGCAAAGGCTGCATAGCTTACAGTGAGACGCGCCCCCAGAAACGGCCTGAATAATTGCGGGAGGGAGGTGGCTCTTGGTCAGGCTTCACATAGACGGTTCTAGCAGGAAGGGCTTCAGCCTTGTTTCAAAGTGCCCCACTGAGGGCACAACTGCTACGTAGGTTCTCTAGGAGTACATTCTCTTTCCAGTACACCTTAAATCTTTCTTGATATAATATGCATGAGGAAATGACAAGAATATAATTTGGAAGTTTTAACACCGGTTGTTATAAGGAAGTCTTCCACTAAAAAAAAAAAAAAAAAAAAAAAATGCTTAGATGCCAGTTTCAGAAACAATTTTGCCTGCAGCATCTTCTAGCTCAATAATTTAGTGGCAATGACAGTCACAAATGCTGTCAAAAACAGCAGTGAGGTTTAAAAAATAAACAAAAATTCAAACCATAATATCCTGTAGATTTTTAATATGTCCTTTACTGATTTGGCAACCACAACAGACATTGAGGAGAGCCTCCTAGTTAGAAAAAAAAAATTAATCCTACCTTTGCAGGTTTTCATACACGTGACTGTCTCTACACCCTCTAAGGCATGCATACGGGGCTTCCTTCTCATCAAATACTATGTCTGTCCTGGTGTTCGTGGTCACAAGAGACCTTTTGTATCATTACTCCCTCGAGTTGCAATTCTGACTAGGAGGCCCGGGCAAACACAAAAGTAACCTGGCAGTTACATCATTCTCTATAAATGAAAAAAGACTGCTATCTAAAAATAATGAAAGGCTCCATTTAAATTAATGTTATTTTTTGTCAAGTGTTCATTTTACTTTGTAATAATGTAGTTCTGATCCAAATAGAGTTCTCATGAGCTTTAAAAAGATCTCTAGAGATTATACGCAGGCCAGTAATTTAATTCTTGAATTTTTATTTCTTGCAATGACATTTAGGGTTCAGTGTGATTTCACATTTTTTGGTGCTGTTGCTGACACCTTATGGAAACTGTTTTATTTGAAAATTCTGACTTGATTTTTAAAACTGTTCAGTTCTTCTTTAGAGGAATCATTATTATTTAAAAAATGGATTTTTTTGTTCTTTAAGGTATGCATCCTCTTGCTGTTGATTTCATAATCCTGTTTGGGTCACTGTGATTAGTTGCTATGGAAATTACCTCCTATGGAAATGATTCCGATGTCATTGTTGTAAGAATATGACTTTTAATGAATAATATCAATAGCAGACATCAACCCTTACTAGAAAAAAGGAAATTTAATTAAAATGTTTTAAAAGGATTAATTCTGAAAATTATTATCATGGCCAACTTTTCTGATATTTTTCAATCGGCCATCTGCTTTTTAAATAAGCATTAAATGAATTTTAAGGTGTTAATCAGCTACTCACTTCCCCAAATTCCAATGTCACAATGGAAATTAGCACCATGCATAGAAAAGTGGAAATAAAGAACATTTCATTTACCTTTTCTCTAAACTAATAAATGTTATGCTTCACTTTATGAGTTAATGTCAACAGGATTTCAGGGCTCATCAAGGAAACAACTTTGAATAGCACATTATAAATCCCCTTTAAAGATGAAGAATTTAATATTCCAAAATTTATCCCAGGAATTTGAAAGGTCAGTGAGTTAACTAGTGAGTTAAACAATAGATGAGAGCCAGTGAACCATTAGATGAGAATTCCAGAATGCTAAGAAGAAATTTTCTTGGGTGGATTCTATAATTTGTGGTTTGAATAAAACTTTTGAAACATTCCATTAGTATTAAAATTCTCACAATGAGAATATGGCTCAGATTTAACACATTTTAAGTTACTAGACAGTCTCTCCCCAAAGAAATTTTAATGCCTTCTTCTGCCTAGTGCTTGCTCACTGCTGGTACTAATTTAGGAATAAATTAACCCTTCCAACAATTAGGATATTGTCTAGAAACTGCCTCTTGCACTCTACTGGGGAAATCACTTACGTTCTGAAAATCAGAAGTAAAAGAGAAATCCATTTCTTCATTATAAAACATTTTTTATACCTAATAGCTTATTAATTATTGATGTAAATCACTATCATATTTACCAACATAATTATGTATTACTATATCACCAGTGCTTCTGAATTAAGCCTAACAGTTATAGATTTTCTTAAATGTTTTATACATTAAGGGTTTTCTATATTTGTGCTTGCAACCATGATCGAGGATCCAAAATGTCTTTGATAGATTTCTGCCTCGGAGCTGGCACTGGCTTGGCTTCAAAATTGGTTTTAGTGTCTGTGAGTTCGCCATCACTTAAATTATTTTTCCTGGCAGGGAGAAGTTTTCGAGGAGCAGCCATTGGTTTCTGTAAGTGATGCATTAGGGTTGATAATTTGGTATCCAAAGGCGAGGCCCAAGATACACTTGTTTTTTCCCAGTTGTCCTTAACCAATTGATCTGTGTTGCTCTGTGTTTTTAAGCTGAATGGAGCTTTATCAGAAGGAGGAAGGGGAGCACGTCTCTTTTTCCCTTTCCCGTCATGTAACTGCTTGCTTGCAGGAGATAACACCTTTTTCTGGATAACCACTTCATGATTACCATCAAAGAGGCTGGCCCAAAGAGGTGGTGAGGGTTCTTCATGCTGACCAATAAGAAACTGTCCATTTGTCTCTTCAAGTTTTTTTTGTATGGTCTCAGTTAAACTTTCAAGTTTTATAGGTGAATCAATGCCTGTAATGATTTTGAGAAGAAAATGCATGGGAAAATTCAGAAGCTGTGTGCACTTTGAGTCAGTTATTGTTTTCTAAACCAACATCTATAACGGTCATCAAAACACACTGGATAAGCAAGTGATTTGGAGTTGTTTTTCTTTTTCTTTTTTTTTAAGCATTTGCTTATAAAAATAACCCTTCCCCTACCAACAGAACCAAAAACTAAGGAGCTCATTCACTGTGCGCCACACATGCACGCACACGCGTAAATGTTCCTAAATAAATGCGTAAAACTCAGCTTTCAAAGGAGTAGAGTTACATCAGGATTTTTTTTTCAATTCTGTAGATTAAGTACTTATTAAATAACTTTTCTTGGATTTAAAATCTATTCTGATTTCTAGGTTAGAGTGGATTCCCTTTTTGTAAAAGCCTGATATGTAAACTGGGACAAATGTAACTGGATTAGTATCCTTTCCTGTAGACTAGAAAAAGTCTCTGTTCATAGAGAAAAAATTCCAAAACCAGAAACCCAAGGAAACATTTTGGTGATAAGGGTTCTGGATGAATTTTTCCTTGGGAAAAATAAGAGAATAGAGATAATGTCTATTAAATGAATCACTGGTATTTTCAAATGTGTAAACCCAAATCTATCATTTTTAATCTAACATTTTAAAGTAAGTGTAAAGTATATATTGGTGGCAAAACAGACTAGAATTTAGTGTTGACCTGTGTTCACAGCACTGTTCACTCAGGCAATCCTACAAAGATAAATAATTACCCTTCAAAGTGTGGGAAAATGGAATATTAATGAGTCTAGAAATTTAAAATTTTCCAAAGCATTAAACTTAACCAAATTTTTGACCTGAGATGAAAGAACACTTCCATTTACTAGTATTCATTTATCAACATTACTTTAAGACAAATTTAATAAAATACAGAAAAAATTATAGAACGTGATTATATTTTAGAATCTGCAAGTTCACATTTTCAGAATTTTCATCAGCTACTCAGCTAATATTTATTTTCAGTGCACCTTTATTCATTTTGAAGCCTTAACATTTTTGTTTGATCTTAAGCATTCAAACTATGAAAAATGTGTATTCATTAATTCTGTATTAATTCATCTATTAAACATGAGTTCCTCAGTCTATAATCATAGTCTTTTTTCATTCGTTTTGACTGCAACCTGAAAATTTTAGCATTTTAATGTCAATAGAATAAGCTGCTTGAGTATGGACAATGTTGTTTTTGTTACCCCGAAGCTTAGAAAAGACAAACCCCACTTACTCATATCATGGTAGACTGAGGTCGCCTCTTTTGTCAAGAACAAAGGTGGTTTCCGTGGTGACATAATCTCAATTTTCATAAGTTCTTCACAACAATGCTTCCATTGGCCTAAGAAAGACAGAAAAAGGCAGGCTAGTTTAAAACATAAATGTGAAGACGTATACTTCATTTTCAATAGATATCAACATATTTTTTTTTTTTTTGCTGTGAAAAATAACAGTGAATTTATAAAGCATTGCCTTAAGGAAGCCACAAAAACCTAATACTACCAATGATTTTACAGTCCACATCTGAGCACAAAAGTAATCTATTTTAAGAATAAGTTCTGTGCACAGATATAAGAAGCTAAGATCTCTAGGCTATTAAATACTGTACTATTTCACTGGCACAGTAATGATCAATAACTAAAATTTCTATTCATGGCAAAAGTTGGCACAAGTTCTCCTCTGTTAAATATTAAATAAAAATACCCAGTATTTAAGACATTTGAAAGGTAAAAATCAACCAAAATATAGTTAGAAATAATGCTTCTCAAAAATGGCTTTAATTTTGAAAATTCTAAGAAATAAGAATTGTTTATTTAACAATTATTTCTTCAAATGATTATGCTTTTCAAAAATCACATAACTAGAAAAATGCTGCATTTTCAGTCAAGTAAAAGGTATATAAAAGCCCATTACAATAAAAACACATTACTCCAAATTCTAACTGGATCTAATTTATTCAGGAAGGACACTTTAAATAAAGCCAGTAGTTACTAGGAATAAAAAGTACTCTTAAATAAGTTGTTTCAATTTTTAAGTTAAAATTTTGAAGTGTGAGCATTAATTTTTCTTTTAATTATGTTTTATTATTTTCATCTTAAAATTCTCAGATTAATCTCTTCTGAGTGGTGGATATAAACAACTTAACCTTTCCATATTTATTGTGCACCTACGCGCTGGGTAACAGCTGTGCTAGAAACCATGCGTCTCTCTGTTCATATTATAAAAGCAGGTTACTGGGGTTCGCTATGCTTATACTCGATCTTACATCTGTAGAAAAGTAAATGTCATACATGTATGTGTCTTTTTGGAATGATTTATGATCTATATTTCTCTTCCTTTTTATTATATTCTCAATATCCAATTTAGTTATTTTCGATAGCTTAAAAATGAAAGACATTTCACGTTTAGTCAAATTATCTATTCATTTCTGTTGTTTTAAATCTAATATACAGCCATGGTTATATGGTAATATGCATAAATTTTAAATCCATCACTTTAAATAGTTAAGAAACATAAAAAACCTTTTAGTGTGTTTTATTACAATGCTAAGTATAGAATATGGCAAAAATTTCAAAATAGCCCACATAGCATCTCAGAGAGAGAACAAAATCTTGAGTTTGAGGCTTCAAAGGTTGCTCTGCAGAATTTAAATCTAGTAGGATCTGAGATCTGATAACTTATTCCTCCCCTCCACTTCCTTTTTTAGATAAATATATAAAAGCCAGCTTTTCCTTCTTGGGGCAGAAAAAAATTAAGGTCTTATCAACTGGAAAAATAATGAAATACTTTAAGCTAGCAAACATTTCTCTGTCAAATCTTAGGGAAATTACAAAGTGCCGTATTTTCTCTATATTGATAGATTAAAGCTGTTCATTGTTAAAGTGGTAGCAGAATATTAATCATGTTGAAAACTGGAATATAAAGCCATGTTATCCATGTGTAACTGAAGTCAGAGGTACAAGTGTGGAATGTTCACTGGTCAATTTTACAATGGAAACATTTATTTTACCAGTGAATAAATTAGTATGCAAAGTTATACATGATACCAACATGTTAACATAAAAAAAAAGGCCCCAGTATGAAATATTAAATGGCTATGTTGTCTTCACATAAAATCTGTCTACAGGAGGTGTTTACCACAATAATATTTGTTATAATGTTCCCAGTCAAATGATCTGTTATGCTAAGCTGCTTATGTTGACTCAATATGTATATTATTAAATACTTGAAACAAATTTATCTTTGACCCACCACTCCTACCCCTTTTGATTATCCAGAACAGTGTCATTCCTTTTACGTGTTTTTCAGCTCTCAAATATTAAAAATTAGCTATCACATCCCCCTTGGCTTCCAACCTCCACTCTTCATTCGTCTCTGTTCTTCTGCAGGCTTAGTGCCATTAATGTTTTCTTGTGATTTTTAATCTCACTCTTTCAATTTTCTACTCTTACACAGAGTCAAATAATTGAAATTTGCTCTAAATATTAAATTACCCTTAGTTTATTCTGCCTTGAATGTCCATCCTCTACTATGTTCTACATATCACATTTCACCTAAGATCACAACAGGCTACACTTACCATGAGGAAGATAAAACATTTAAAGTACAAGTCAATCTTTAGGATTTCCATCTTTGCTTCGTATCTTCATACACAATGAATTCTTTTTAAAAAATGTTTATGTATTTATTTTGAGAGAGAGAACAAGAGAGGGAGAGAGAGAGAGAGAGAGAGAATCCCAGGCAGGCTCCATAGTGTCAGCGCAGAGCCTGAAGCCTGATGCGGGGCTTGAACCCACCCATGGAACTGTGAGATCATGACCCGAGCTGAAATCAAGTCAGATGTTCAAGTGACTGAGCCATCCAGGTGCCCCATACACAATGTATTTGTAAAATGTGAATCTAATAGAATTTATACTTCAAAAACTAGATTGGCAGATTTTATCCCAAATCATTAAATACTAAAGAAATAGCCAGATCTAAGAATCTAGTTGTCATCGCTTTCTTATTTCGACAGTTGTATCACGAGATTTATATCCCTCCAACTTCCTATTTTAGCATGATAAATTACTTTATGTAATCTGGACAATAAAAACATGAGATCATCTAGTAGTAGTTGATATCCAGACTATAATATTCTGCATTTTTACCTCCTCTTACCCTGTTCCTGTTTTTATACACATAAACATTTTTATAGAATCACTTCTAAAAATAATATAGTCTTTGTAAGACAAATTCTCTAAAGCAGAGCATTTAGGAAAGCAGTTAAAATTTCAGATGTGATCAGCAAACGAAAGGAAGTTGTTGTCTTTTAAGTTACACATCTAAGATCAGCTGAAGTTAAAAAAAAAATGTAGTGCATGCTGATAAGCATGGAACAAATATTCAAACGCCTATTGAGTGCCTAGGGATAGTACTTAAGGAAAACAAGTCCTAAAGAACTCCAGAAGGCTATAGAGGGAGTCCTCTAGTTTCCTGCAGTAAACCAGACATCTCTTCAGGCCTCAATTTTCTCAACTTTAGAGCAGAGGGAAATAATTTCTGCCCTGCTGGGCTGTTGTGAGAAATAAATGAAGCCATATGGTATGTTGAAGGTAATCAATACGTTCAGTTCCCTTTTTGCGTCCTCCCCAACCATCACTATAATACTTGACCAGGCCATGGATCACACTGGGGACAGGAGGTATTAACTCTTTTATAAAGTTCCCCAAAATAGCTCATTGAGAAGTCCTAAAATTTCTGTTGGATTATTTCTAGGGGTTGAAGAAATAACTTTGATTGTTTGGAAATGGCTATCCTTTGTAATTCTATAAAAAAGCATTCTAAAGATATAAAATGCTGGTTGAATCTAACAGTAGGCTTAGTTTGACTAGAAATAGCCCTTATCAATAGTTCACATTTACACAAGTGCCCTCCTTAATACCCATCACCCATCTAGCCCATCCCCCATCTCCCTCCCTCCTATCTCAATATATCATTTCAATATTTTCTTGTTGATAAAATTCCTCCTTAACTTGAGAATACTAGATCACATATTTTACATAGTAAAACTCTTGTTATATTACTATCACATTGTTTTTAAAATCATGGGCTGTACTATTGAGCTGAAAAACCACATGTATGGTTTAAAAAAATTTTTTGGGTGATGTCCAAAATGATATTATAACGAATCTGGAGTTAACAGAAGGTTACATAAAAATGAATTTCCTTCTGAACATTTCAACATTTTAGAATCATCACTAACCTAGAGAAGTGTTTCACTCCTCAAATGGATTGTTATCCCTTTGATTAAACACACTGCTTTAACCAATTAAAACCTAATATTTTGAAAAAATGTGGTCTAGTTGTTTTAGGGACCAGAGGAACTTAAAAAGTAACAGGTAGAGATACTAGGAATTCAAAGGTATAATACACTATAGTTAAAGTCAGGCATTGGGGAAAAGTTGAGAGAAAAAGTGATCAATGCATTGATGATATACTATCATTTTATTCAAGAGCATAAAAAAATTCTTGATACAAATTATAACATTATAATTTTAATATTTAGATTGCTTTGTGCATCCTTTCATGATACATGAGTATAATACTGGCAAATCCAAAAATTAACTTACTAAGATCAAAAAAATGCTGCCAGAAGGCTTCCATCCATTTCTGGAGATCTTCTCTACTGTCCACTGCAAAAATATGAGTTACAGACTGTCCAGCAACAGGGTTGATAACAGAAAAATTATGTATTTTTTTCTTGGCATCCTTATCCATTGCGCGAATTCTGGTTTCCTAAAAATTAAGACAAAATTAATGTTTTACAAGAGAATATTTTTGTAATTAACAAATAAGTACTTTACTGCTCACTACCACACTTAAGAGCAGATACATTTATAAATCTTGCTGCTGATCATTTAAAATATGGAACTTTGAGAATTTTCAAAATTCAGACTCAGATCACCGAGTTAAAAAATGCTTTGTAGTAAAAATACTGAACAATGTTTCAAAGCATGCTACATATAGAACTTACATTAAATTACATGAGATTAAAACATAACCTGTTTTGATCCTTTTAAGTAGGAGTATGCTGTCTTTTATATACATCTTAAAATTTGCAATAAAACAAGTATGGCATGTCATAACTGTAATGTGAATTATATTAACTACATTTCCAACAGTAATAAAATAAAAGAATCAGTAAAGAATGTTTGTTATTCTAATATTCAGGCATTACATACGGTGTTATCACTTAAAGCAGTAAAACCATAACTTAGTGTTTACTGCAGCAAAGCAGTTAGGTTTTTCCCATTAACATTTATTTCATGTGTAACATTCATTTACAAAGCTCATAGCTAAAGATCCACGAAGTACTATAACCTTCATGATGGTAACAATTATTTTTTTAAATGCTGAATGCAACACTCTACAACAAAGGCAATGGTTTCATTCATGTTGATAGTCTTAAGCTTTTTTTCTGAGTGGTACTAGGTACGACATTATGGTGCTTACTGTGTCTACATGTAGCAAGTCTGTTCCCAAGTGACACAGGCACCACCATGCCACATGACAAGCTAGCAACTACATGTAGTTTCCAAGGAGTTTTGGGGAAACAATGGGGATTTGGCTGCCTGGATAATGAGTGATATTATTCTAGAGCAGTGCTGTCCTGCACAAGTGAGCCACATCTGGGGTGCCTGGGTGGCTCAGTTGGTTAAGCATCTGACTTTGGCTCAGGTCATGATCTCGTCATGGTTTGTGAGTTCCAGCCCCATGTCAGGCTCTGTGCGGACAGCTCGGAGCCTGGGGCTTGCTTCGGATTCTATGTCTCCCTGTCTCTCTCTGTCCCTCCCCTGCTCACACTCTTTGTCTCTTTCTCTCAAAAGTAAATGTTAAAAAAATAAATAAATGAGACACATGTGTAATTGAAGATTTTCTAGTATCACATTAGAAGGTAAAATGAAAACTGGTGAAAATAATTATGTAATAATTATTACAATATTTTGAAATAACGTTTTTATGGGCGCCTGGGTTGGTTTAGGCAGCTGAGCGTCCAACTCCTGATTTCAGCTCAGGTCATCATGATCTTCCAGTTGGTGGGTTCAAGCCTCAGCACAGAGCCTGCTTGGGATTCTCTCTCCCCCTCTCTCTGCCCCTCCCCCGCTCACACTCTCTGTCTCTCTCTAAATAAATAAACACCTTTTTAAAAACTTAAAAACAATAAAATAAAAGGGGCGCCTGGATGGCTCAGTAGGTTGAGCGTCCAACTTCAGCTCAGGTCACGATCTCGCGGTGACTTCGAGCCCTGCATCAAGCTCTATGCTGACAGCTCAGAGTGTGCAGCCTGCTTTGAATTCGGTGTCTCCCTCTCTCTCTCTCTCTCTCAAAAATAAACATTAAAAAAATAATTAAAAAAATAAAATGTTCTTCTGCAACCCAATGCATCCAAAATATTATTTCAATGTGTGATTGAAAAACTTTTTTTTGAGATATTTTACACTTTTTCATTCTAAGTCTCCCAAATCCAGTGTCTATTTTATACTTAAAGCACATCTCCATTTGGACCAGTCACATTATAAGTAACAGCCACTGGTAGCGAGTGTCTACTGTCCTGGGTAGAAGAGTTCTAGAGGAATACGTTTAAACCTACTGTAGTGTGTGCAGAAGAGGATTTAGTTGGCAGTTACAAAAGCTGATTAGGAGTGAGAAGAAATTCCTCACTTCTTTCAATACTGAGTGAAGAGAAATTGCATGTATTCTCACATACCAAAACTAACATATACATATAATGATGTCTATGGACAGGAGCAAAGACTCACAAAGAAAAGCTATACATTCCCTGAAGCATGGGAAAATACAGACAGGTGAGCACCATATAAACACTAGTTCCCCCTTATCCTCAGTCTGTGTTTTCTGCAATTTCAGTTGCCCCAGTCAACTGTGGTCCACAAGCAGATGATGCTCCTCCTGACACGTCATCAGGTCAGCAGAGCCTAATGCTTCTACGTCATCATAATGCCTACGTCACCCACCTCACTGCATCTCATCACACAGGCATCCTATGGTCTCACATCCATCACAAGAAGGGTGAGTGTGGCATAATAAGATATTCTGAGAGGCAGAGAGGCCACATTCATGTAACTTTCGTAACAGTACATTGTTATAACTATTCTATTCTACTATTAGTTATTGTTGTTAATCTCTCACTGTGCCTAATTTATAAACCAAATTACCACAGGTATGTATGTACGTATAGGAAAACACAGTATATATAGGGTTAGGTACTGTCCACAGTATCAGGCATCCACTGGGGGTCTTGGAACATATGCCCTGCAGTTAAGAAGGGACTACTGTGGATGACAGAAGTTCTTTCCTGAAGGAAGGAATTCTTATCCAAAAATCACATGAGAAAAAAATGTATGCTGCATGAAATAGCAACCTAACTTTGAAAGTCTGGAGTATCACTAAACATAAGGATTAGTAACCATCTTAGAGACACTGTCATTTTTAAAATGTAGGAGTAAGTGTCTTCAGAGGATTGTAATGGACTTATGGTCAACATTGTAATTTAACATAACGGTCTTTTTACATTCCTATGCCATGGTAATAAGCTTTGTGAATTAACTCTTTTGAGCAATTATTTATACAATATAAAAACAAAATGGTACCCTAATTGATATCCTTGCAGGCTGAAAATGCATGTAATCAACCTCTTTAAGTATAATGCTTATTATCACCAGCAGAGAATGACTGAAGCTCCAGAAAGAATCTTTAATATGCTCTCAGTAAGACTTACTGAAGGCTGACTCAGTGGGGGAGGAAGGCAGGAGAACCCTCTATTCTCTCAGTATTAAAAAAAAAACAATAAAATATGAATTATTCTTGTTGTTGAAATTGTGCTTTTCTCTCCATTCAAATCTATCAGAATACAAATTTCTGACTACCTTTTGTATGTAGGATTAAAATGGATTCAACTTTTAAATATGGAAAGTGTGATTTTTATAGATGAATATGTACATTTTTAATAATACCAAGATATCATTACAAATGAAAATAGCTATGTAGAAAATCTGATGAACTGGATCATTTATATCTTTCTAAGAGAATATAATGCAATAATATATAAATACTGTACACTATACACTCCATTAGCTCTGAGGACCATAAATACCACTAAATTTTTAAAACATGAGAAGCTTTTAAAAGGTGCAAATGAAACGCAGAATAGATCATCTGAATTAACTTCTATATTTTATCACCCCAAATAATTTAACTAATGGGAATTTTTTCAACCAAAAACTGGATGTCAAAGAAAAAGTTATTAAATAAAGTTTCTGATAATGTCAGAAAGTCCATGCAAGCTGTTTTTCATTCTGGGCAAAGTATCAATAAGAGTTCTTAAAACTTCAATGAGGAATGGATTAGAAAACACAAGGTGAATTTTAGGACTGTTATCATTATGGGCTCACATGACGCTTAGATGAGGGCAGTGTCTCCTCTTAGCAGGGTTTGAAAGCAAGAAACAGGCATTTCTGCTCCCACTATTTCTCCCACCTAAAATACTGCCTGGCACTCACTAAGTGATTGAAAAATATATGAAGAATAAATTAATGAGATAAGAGAAGAACAACTCAGATAACGATAGTTTTAGGTTGACATACGAGGATCGCAGAAATAGTCCTAATCCAACACTTTATAGATGAGGAAACTTATGTCCCAAAATAAGTTTTCTATCTAAAATCAGAGTTTCCTGTCTTGCTTTTTGCTAATCCCAAACCATTTAGTTGATTAGGGAGGTTTTACAGTCAAATTTTACTGCTCTGCGGATAAATTTGAGACTTCATTGTGAAATTTTAATCCTTGGCTGGATCTCCTTTTATCAGTCAACACATACTGAACTGGAACCTTCCACTGCATGAGATGGTGGGTACCCAGAGAAGGCCAACTGAAGTCAATACAGATATAATCTGAGAAGTCAATTTTGTAGCAAAATATAATTAACTCTGAAATCAAAGGAAAGTTTCTTTTAGGCTGTTCATTGTTTTAAATTAAAACTGTACTTCAACCTATTTCTGTGGTAATGGAAAATTACTAAATTGGGACTAGATTTATGCAGTTTCTTACCTTACTTTTGACTATACGATCTTTAAAAAGTCTACTCCGTACCCAGATTATGGGTTCTAAATATTATTTCTTACTAAAAGGAATCAGAGCTCTTTATAGACATGGCTAATTCTTAGCTTGGGCCAGAAAATATATAGGATAATCCCTGAACTTCTTATCCTACCAAAAATCAAAGATTAATAGGATTGTATCAAAAGGACTCGAGAGCCAAACTGAAGAGGCTTCCAGTAGCCAAAGATGGGACTATCCAAATGTCAATAAGAATCCAATGGTAATGGATTAATGCATGAAATGTCTTTAAACCCATAAATTCTTAATGATATTTAAAAATGAACTCATTTGGGGGTAACTGGATAGCTCAGTCAACTAAGCATCCAACTCTTCATTTCGGCTCAGGTCAGGATCTCACGGTTGTGAGATCAAGCCCCATGTCAGGCTCTGTACTGAGTGTGGAGCCTGCTTGGGATTCCCTTTCACCCTGTCTGTCTCTCTGCCCCTCCCCCCACTCACTCACTCTCTCAAAATTTAAAAACAAAATGGACTCACTTGTCATTTTTGAAGGATGCTAAGGAACCACCTCATTGTTTTGGCAACTAGTTAAATCTTAAAGTCTTTATTCTGTCTTTCCTATAAGAATTGTACCTCAACCAAATAGCTGATAATACAGAGGT